TCATCAGGATTGAAGAGATTATGAACACGAAGAAGAAGATAGAACAGGAATTACAGCGCGCCGAGGCATCTGACGAAGTTAAAGTTGATGAATCTGAAGATGTATGTCACGTATTTTTACTAGAATAAAGAAAAACAACAAGAAGATGACATCCTGATGTTGTTGTGCTGATTTTTCCCTTCAATTTGATACTAATTACGGTCCGGCTTGGGTGGCCACCTTCTAGGGGTGGCCACCTTCCCTGTGGTCTGACTTAGCTGCCCATCAGGTACCCAAACTGCGGAGTACCTGCATTGGCATCCTAGCAGCAGCATCATCACCGCCTTGCTTTGCTTCCAGTTTCCACTCTATTGAGCGGCAGCCGGGCGCTGCAAGCTCTAAAGCCCGAATTGAATCAAGGATCGCTGGAGATCCAGCATGACATATGCTCTATTGCCATCATGACAGGACGGTCGCCTCAGCAGTCAGAGCTTCCCGAAGCTCTGCCAGTACCCGATGCGCCCAGCGACAGCTCCACGGCAGCGAACGAGACGGAAGACAGAGACAATGCGCAGTCCCTCTCTATAGGGTCGTTAAAGGATAAGAAGTCTGAGGACAGACCGACCGAAAGGACGGAGAAAGGTGTTGAAGGGGATGTGACTGGGAAAGATGGCGGTGACGAAGATGGAAAGCCAAGCGCCAAGGTAGAGGGCAAAGGGGATGATGACGATGACGAGAAAGAGGATGAAGAGGAAGAGGATGGGGATGACGAAGATGAGGACGAGGAAGAAGAAGAAGAAGAGGATGACGACGATGATGAAGACGAAGAAGAGGACGAGGAGGAAGAGGAAGACGACGAGGAGCCATTGTTGAAATCAACGAGACTGACCCAACACCTCGGCGCAGTCTATCGCAATGGCGACGCGACCAGCGCTTGTCTAGTCGCGGGCGACAAGATGGTACGGGTCAACCACCGCTTGCCTGTATACGAGTCTTACTGACCAAACGCATATAGATTGTTGGTACGCATAATGGCAATATCGTAAGTAATTCCAATACCGTCTCACAGCTCATATAGCTAATTGGCCGCCTAGCACGTCATCCAATTGCCTGGATTCAACACTCTACGAGTATACCATGCGCACTCAGCTTCCGTCACTAGCATATCAATATCACCATATCCCCCCCCCCTTCCGGACGAAAAAGCCGAGATGATTCAACGAGCACAGACCGGTTTGATTGGGCCACCAGCAAGACCATCTGAAAGTTCTCCCTCAGCAGCAACGAAGAGGATGAGAGAGATTCCTCAAGTGCCTAAAATACCTTCGAATGACATCTATATTGCTACATCATCGATGGACGGTAATGTTTGTGTGCAGTCCTTGGTCGACCTGAAGGATGTTCAACTTCGAAACTTTGCCAGACCGGTACAAGCAGTTGCCTTGTCACCAGACTACAAGTCAGATCGAACATATTTATCGGGCGGGCGGGCAGGACAACTCATTCTCACTGTAGGCGGTGGCCCAGGTCGAAGTACCTCTACTACAGTTGGCACTGCGGCTGCTGTGGCATCTGACTGGCTTTCTACAATAGGTGTCAAGAATAGCGGCGGAAAAGATACGGTGCTTCATTCTGGTGAGGGAACGATTAATACCATCAAATGGTCTCTCTCAGGAAAATACGTCGCATGGCTCAACGAACATGGAACCAAGATTATGAGATCCAAACTTCATCTTGATAACACGGAGATTGAAGACGCTTGGAAAAGGATTGGTCACGTTGACCGACCACATACTAGCGAATGGGAAACGATGGCTGGCGTTTGGAAAGGTCGCGCCGAGTGGATAGATGAGAAGTCGGTCGAAAGTGATGAGTCGGAGGGCTCTCACGATGCTACTGCTTCTTCACCTACCGTATCAAGCACAAAGACTTTTGAAAGGCTTCTTGTTGGCTGGGGAGGGACAATGTGGATTATTCATGTCCACCCAGGAGGCATCGGCTATGGTAAGCAGGCTGGCGAAAAAACCATTGCGCGTGCCGAAATAGCCAAGATGTAAGTGGCTCCTCTTATCTTGATACCATTTTGTTGGAAATCATCAACGAGTATCACACTAACAGCTATCTAGTCTTCATATAGATTGCATCATTTCTGGAATATCTCTGTACGCCCAAAATCAATTGCTAGTATTAGCATTCAGCTCTCCAGAAGATGAAGGCGATACCGCAGAAGACGACAGATCCGGTCCATCACATTCACGGGACGCATCTAAGAAACACAAATCGAAGCATTCCACATCATCTGCAGATACTGAGCAACAGCATAGCCAACGACAACGCTTGAACGCTCTGCCTCCCGAGCTGAGGCTAATTGATCTCAAGTCTCAAGCTGAGGTAGATCGGCACAGCCTCTCCATTAATCGTGTTGATAGGCTTTCTGCTGCTGACTATCACATGTGTCTCCTACCTGCACGGAATGCCGCCTCCGTAGTGGCATCAACGAAGAGCGCTTTGGAGGCACTTGCCGGTATCGGGTCGGAAATGTGGAATGTTGCGGTTAACCCAAGATCCTTGTTCAGCTCTGGCGCCAGTATCATGAGCGGAGGCAGTGGTGATGATGGCGCTTCCGTTTCCAAAGCTGGGAGCATTGCAGGCACTATACGATCGAGCCCTATGAGAACTAGAATTCCTACCGTACATCCTACACTGTCCAAACCAGGGGTCAAAATATTCCTTCATAGTCCCTACGACTGCGTTCTGGCCACCAAGAGAGATCTTTCTGATCATCTCACGTGGCTGTTGGAGCGTGAGCAGTACCGACAAGCGTGGGAACTTCTCGACGAAAACCCTGAAATTTTGGCCGAATCATTCGATGGCATCAACGATCCAGCGATGCCTCCTACGCCATCCAAACACCCGGGCGGAGCCGATGATTTCTTTGACGACGAGTCTGTGGCAGACACCACTCAAAGAAACATGTACTCGGCTGTGGAAAAGGAGAAAAGGCGAGTTGGTGAGCTGTGGATCCGGGAAGTGATTGATGACGGCGACTGGGAGATGGCTGGCCAAGTCTGTGGCAAGGTTCTCACGACTCCCGATCGCTGGGAGAAATGGGTTTGGACCTTTGCAGGTGCCAACAAGTTTGACGAAATCACGAAACACATGCCAACAAAGCCTATGAAGCCGCCATTGCCAACGACCATATATGAGGTGCTTTTGGGACATTATATACAAAATAACAAGCCTCGGTTCAGAGAATTATTAGACCTATGGCCAACCGATCTTTTCGATATCCCTGCTATTACAACGACGTTGGAGAATCAGCTCAAGTATCGCGATGTTCGTGAGAACAGCGTCGAAGATGGCGAAAGAGGTCGAGATTGGAAAATCGTTGTAGAAAGCTTGGCCAAGCTGTACGAAGCTGGTGGCCGACATCGTGATGCGCTCAGATGCTATATCAGACTTCAAGACGCAGACTCAGCATTCCGGTTGATCGGTGACTACCACCTTGCAGACGCCGTAGCAGACGATATTCCTGCATTCATCGGACTACGTGTCTCCCCCGAACGACTCAAGTATATGGACGAGCATCAACTGGTTGCATCAACCGCCGAAGCCATTACTCTGCTGGTTGATGAGGCTCAACATGGCCTTGTGCGGCCTGAAGTTGTCGTAGAGCAGCTGCAAGCAAGAAATCTCCAGTTATACCTATTTTTCTACCTGCGTGGATTATGGAAGGGCCAAGGAATCGCAGAGCACACTGGAGAGAATCTCGAACGGCTGATCCTGGACAGTCAATCTTTGGTGGATAACTTTGCGGATCTGGCCGTTCGCCTATTTGCCACCTATGATAGACCGCTGCTCATGGAATTTTTGAAGACGTCGACCTCTTATGGATTTGAAAAGGTATGGTCTTTAACTCCCCTCCATCCCAAACTCGATAGCTGCTTACACCTCCCGTGAACTAGGCCGTCCAAGAGTGTGAACAGCACTCATACTACGATGAGTTGGTATATCTTTATTCCAAGACTGGTCAAATGAAGCGCGCCCTGTACCTCATCATAGACCGGTTGAACGATGTCAACAAGGCAATAGATTTTGCGAAGGAGCAAGACGATCCTGATTTGTGGGAAGACTTGCTAAACTATAGCATGGATAAGCCGAGCTTCATTCGTGCGCTCCTTGAGCAAGTTGGTACGACCATAAACCCAATAACTTTGGTTCGACGAATACCGGAGGGTCTCGAGATTCAGGGTCTAAGAGAAGGACTTATCCATATGATGAAGGAGCATGAACTTCAGCACAGCATTAGTTGGGGTGTAGCGACAGTTTTACGAAGTGAAGTTGCGACAGCTCAGAATGAGCTTCGAACAGGCCAACGGAAGGGCATCAAATTCGAAGTCCTTTCAACTGACGAGGGAGAAACTGCTGAGGATGAAAAGTCTGAAGGCGTCCCGAAGCCTGGGCAATGCGCAAAATGTCTCGAGACGTTCACAGAGTACGAGATGGAAGCATTAATGGGATTTGTGTGCGGGCATGCGTTCCACGTAAGCCATTTGCTCGAAATGCTACATAAAGGCAAACAAAACGACATTGATCTTGGAAATGGGCCAGAAGAAGGAAGCCGCTATTCAGTTGGTATGAAGGTCATGAAGGCGAGGCTGTTGAGGGACAAGGTGAGGGGAGGTTGTCCAATTTGCCACCCAACCGAAGCTTAGAAGTGTATGTATGTACATTGGGCGTTTCGTTTTATATATCCCTGGGTCCTTTCATAATCTATTGTCTAAGCATGGGGGAGATAGAAGATTTGGTAATTAATTATTGTTTTGAGGAACTTTGATGCCTTTAGGTAGATAATGGTGTGAGTTATGATGCCAAATGTTGGGAATTGTATGGCATGAAGAAGAGACGGAGCAGCAATCGGAATTCACGCGTGAACATATGTTTTATCCCACTACCAAGAGGCGTCAAAGTGGTTTTTACAATTAAAGGAATTTAGAGCAAATCTATTCCTGTTCGCCTATCACGATCATGCCACTGAATATTTCCCAAATGTGCAAATCCAGGTTTAACCTTATAACCTGTCCCAGCTGCCAATCTCCATCGAAAATGCCATGTATATGACGAATCTGATAAAAGCACCGCGGCTCTTTCGTAGTAGAAAGAGGTGATCAGTTACATGAAAAGAGTCATGACCATGGCGAGACCGCCAAAGGCCACGCCAGAGATGGCCTTGAGAGCCACTCCAGCGCTGGTGCGATCTGGGGCAGAAGGAGCCGTCATGCTGCCAGAAGGGCTGTCATGGCTCATGACCGACGTCGAGTTGGTCTGCTGCTTGCCCGTGATGGAGCCCGAGGCCGTAGTCGTGCCGCTGGTGATGGCGGTAGAGCCAGTGGCAGCAAGGACGGAGTTGGTCTCCAGCGATGGGCTGCCAAGGGTATCAGTAGTCGAAACCACCGTGACAGTAGGCTGAGGAGCACCAGGATCAACGTGAGACCAGACAGTGGTTGGGATAGGCTCGCCGATGGGAGTGACAGACACGGCCTGAGTGGTCGAATCGACAGAGGCAGAGTAGCCGATGGAGGACTCAGGAAGAACTGCGTTGGTAGCAGTGGTGATGGAAACCTGGCACTGAGTGCTCTCAATGACGGTGCAGTAGTTCATGGAATACATGAGGATGCCTAGACTGGGTTAGTGATTTGGGAGATTCGTGGTTAGGGGGGTAGAACGAACCGTTGGAAGTGGTGGTGCCGATCTGCTGAGTCTCAACAGTGACAGTGGACTGGTTATCCGCTAAAGAAGAGTCAGTCAGTCATTGTAAATGAATGTGAAATTAATCACGGTAATTAGTGAAGAAATAGAGGCTCACAATACGTAGTGGTGGCAAACGCGCCGGAAAAGAGAAGGCTAGCGAGAGCCATGGTCATCTTGGGCGTGGCCATTGCAACGTCAGTTAAGAGGAGGAAGTCGATGCTTTTTATGATAGAGATTTCTAGAATGAATCTATTAGCAAGCAGTCACCAATGTTAAAAAGATTGCTGAGGAGGAAAATGTGCTGAGCATCGCGTGCTAGAAGTTGGAGAGGGAAGGCTAGCGGCGACGATGATGCCTCAGGAGGATGATCGAGTTGCTAACAGGTATCAAAACGATACGTTAAGCGTAACGTCTTGCATGAGAGGGTAATTGAAATGAAATACCTTGAAAGTGTGGTGAAGATGGTTTGCTCGTGGAGTTGCGAGATGGTGACGGGGGAGGAAGAAGAAGCAGAAGGAGGAAATTCAGCAGGGAGGTAAATATCTACAGTCCCACAATTGCGTTGGCGAAGAAATCAGTAAACGCGTCTTGAATTTGATTCTATTTTTTCCCTGTGCAGGTAAATGTTGATTGGGAATTTCGGGGGTGACAAGTGGTGGACAGCTGGCAGCGGAAGATGGTTGAGGCAGTGAATCACAGTCACAAGAGTTGACGATCGCCAAGATCATATGGTGCGACAAATAGTGGAATTGTATGACGAATAAGTTATTTTGAATAGTTTTCGAAAGCTCTTTTGGTTATTTCTATTTCGCTGTGCAAGATGATATATTTGGTGGTGTTTGATAGGCCATGTGGGAAAGTGCAGGAAGGGGAAGAGATCACTACTGAGTACTACATGAAAGAACCCTCGACAACAGGGGATAGATGAATCTTATGGATTTGCATGTTACACGCGTGAAATCCAGTGCAGCACATTGTCGCGGATTTCGGGAATTTTGATATGGAAAACGACATATCTGTGCCATCTCGTTTGCCGCCTGCCGCTTCATTTCCCCCTCCCGCGCAGTTGCATAGTACCTGTATACAGCGCAACTCGGTGTACCAAAGCAGCACTGTCAAATCGCAATCAGAGTTTACATAATGAATTCAAAGAATTCAACGATTCCATCTATTGAATCTAAACCGGAAAAGAGAGAAAACCACCAAGTCCTACAAACTACCTATGCAGAGGGGTTTCGACTTGTTGTGGACTCAATCACGATACCACGCAGCTGTCCGTTCTGTGGCACCAACCAGCCGATACAATGGTACCAATTAGTTTCATCTTACTCAGGAAGTAAGTCTTTGAGCGAATTTTGTTTTGCCTACTCAAATATTGTACTCCTCTAGTTTCTTTTCAAACTGAACTTCTTTTTGTATGTTGCTCCTATGCCTACAAGCCAGGGGCGTCGGTTAAGTTCCTTGGCCGTGGGATGAGCATAAAGTCTAAAGCACAAGTACAAAATACATGATACTCCCGTTGTCAGGTGATAGGAAAATAATAAAACCACAACGCCATCAATAAACCTTTTCTTCACTAGAAACCAACTCATGAAGCAGAAGTACGAGACACGAGGAAAACCTTGGAAGTCTTACTCCATCGCCATTTGACCGCGCAACACCGGCAGCTTGTTATGCCGAAGTTCTCATCTCCATTGCCCCGGTCTCACTAGAAACTCCAGCCTCGTATGTCCTCGTCGGTCTTTCTGCGGGCATTTGCCCGACTTGTGCGTGAGATGGCCTCAAAATCCGATGCCTATCTCAGCTTAAACTTTTGCGAGCTAGCATCGCATGCAAGGCCGGCAATTGTGCTTACTACTGTCACGGCTCCCCACTCCCCACCAGATGGCCGAGAATGGAAAGCTGATCGTGTCCAAGTCGAGCCACTCCGCGTCCCCAATTGGGCCACCAAAAGCCTCTCTCCAAAGCCTCTCATACCTCTGAGCCATGCATCTCCAACGAGGGGCCATGTGTTGGAGCGCCACGCCTGACTCAATCTTGTCGCCATTGGTCCTTGAGTGGGCACATCATGACGAGATCAAAGACCAGGCCGTGATGCTTCAAGGCGGGGCCCCAGACCCAGAAAAGATCCATGGAATTCACTATTGGCGCCACGAGTCTCCTTGGCTGGTTCTCCAACCGCCTGCCAACCCTCCAACCCTCCCTGCCGACGCCTCGGCACTCTTAGCTCTAAACTAGCCCCTGCTGCCATTTGCCGGAGCTCTGGTGGAGCTCGAGAAGCTGTCTCTGTAAGGCTCGACTTGCTGCCACCAACCGCAGCCCACCGGTGTTAAAAGTATCGACAGTTCTGCGAATCACCGCCGTCGCTAACTTCGCCCCTCGACCGTGTCCCGAGAGTTCCGGCCTCTAGCCCGGGGAAGTCACACGATGCTTGACGCTTGGCTACGGAGATAGCTTCGTATCTCATTCGGCGTTGAGGAAGCCAGTGTTTTACCCCATGGAGCCAACCCAACCTAGTAATAAGACGGCATATCTGAATCCCGGCGTGGAGTTTGACCTCCGATGGCTGCTTTTGAGTAGCTGATCACTACTTGCTTGGACCAACTTCTGGGGCATCGAGACATTCGCCTAAAGGCGCGGCGCGAAGAGGGGAAGCAAGCTCCATACTAATAAACATCACCAAACCCCTCGGGAGAACGGAAATAGGCTAGAACCGACATACCCGACATGAGGGGAACACAGATGAGGTACAGACATTGGACACGGCACGAGAAGTAGATGGAGCCGTGTCGTCTGTATATAAACGAGGCACCCAGGAATGGCGTGGTCTTTTCTCCTGCCTTGTCTGTCTACTCATCCTCAGACGCTTGCATTAAGTAGACATCATTGTGCCTACTCCCAGTCATCGTCGACAACTTCTTTGATACAAGATTGCAAGACACTATACAAGTATGGCTACCCCAGGTACCGACCCCATCGAGGGACAATATAACAAAGAATCCGCGGCCGACGTGCCCACCAACGGGCATCATGTTTCCAATGGCATGGGCTCTGGACAGCAGTTCCAGCCCCAACAGTATCAACAATATCCGGGCTATGGACAATTTATTCCATTTAGCAACACCCAAGATCCTCGGGGCGGACCTCACCAGGCCATGATCTCCCAAGTCTACCAACCTACCCTTGGTAAGATTGGTAACCCAGGTCCTCTTGGTCTGATCGGTTTCGCTTTGACGACCTTCGTGCTCGGACTTTACCAGTGCGGTGCTGGGTATGTTCCCCCAAGCATGACCTCGATTCTTTCTCTTTCACCTTGGCGTACGCTAACCCAACAATAGTCTCCCTAATTCCAACCCATTGGGCAACGTCGGCCCTGATCAGGCTGTCTTCGGTGTGGCTGTCTTCTTCGGAGGCATGGCTCAGTTTGTTGCTGGCGTCATGGAATTTGTCCTTGGCAATACCTTCGGTTGTACTCTCCACTGTTCATACGGGGCTTTCTGGCTTGCCTTTGCCATGTTCTCAGTCCCTACACTGGGCATCCAGGCCGCCTATAACGGAGATCAGCGTGCCTTTAGCTTTGCTGTTGGCATTTTCCTCATCATATGGTGCTTCCTCACCATCATCTTCTTTGTTGCGGCGCTCAAGACAAACTTTACCATCTTGATGGTGCTTGGCCTGCTTGCGCTGTCTTTCTTCTTCCTCAGCATTGCGCAGTTCGTCTCAACGGAGCACACCACTGCAGCGGTGCGACTGAACCGAGCCGGTGGTGCCTTTGCCGTCTTCTGTGCCATGTTTGCATTCTACGCTGGAGCGGCAGGCCTCATGCTCAAAGACACAACCTTTGTTACCTTCCCACTTGGAGAGATTCCATATCCCTCAGTCAAGCGAGAGAGGGCCGCGGCGGCGGCGAAGAATGTTTAGAGCCACGAATGAAGTCAATTCATGCTTTTAAAACATGCTACTCATTTTATTGAGTACTTCATTTCACATTATCTCGGCTTTTAATTACTGAGAAGGACGTAATGCGCTGAAGGATGAATTGATCGAAGACGGACAATTAAGTTCACCAACAGGTGGGACGAAGAGGAGAGTTGAAGGTTGTTCGACTTTGTCTGTGTGCATTGATTATACCCTCGCTTTTGATACCCACCTGCTCGTTTGTTTCTTGTTTTTGTTTAGTTTCTTTGTGAAGTAGCCGTCGTGGAAAGGGTAATGGCAGTGGACAAGTAATATGGATGGAATACTGAAGGGAAATCCCCAAAGGTCAATAATTATACCCAAGTGCCGCAGATGACAGAACCAACTTTTTGATTCAACCTTGCAATAAAATATTTCCAATTAATCAAAGTATCAAAAGCAAAACTCGCAATGACTTGTAATACAATGATAATGATTGCTTCCCTCATTCATCTTCCATAGTGAATGGTTCTTATCAATCATACAATCTTCCAGCTACAAATTCGCCTTTCCTTCAAATTCACCTGCCAATTCATCAGTCATACAAGCTCTGCACCTCGTCAAGGGTTTCATCTGCCTTGCCTTTTGCTTTGGCGGCAGTACCCTTTGCCTTTCCTTTCATCTCTTCTGCCTTTCCCTTCATCTCCTCGGCCTTGCCTTTGGCAGCTGACTTCATGCCTTCTGCTTTGCCCTTGGCATGGGCCCCCATACCTTCTACTTGGCTAGAGACGCCGCTGCTGGAAAGATCTTCGGCTGTTTCCATGACCTTGTGTGATGCCTTGGCTATACATTGGTAGAAGAAAAAAAGGATTGATTAGTCACGAGTATATTCTTGTAGTGAATGGTTGTAATTAAGACGTACTGGCAATGTTGATGCCGTCGACGAGCTTATCGCTCACAGCTCTGTCGATGTGCTTCAATTCATCCTTGACGGCCTCGGTGGCGGTTCTCTGTGCCGCCAACGAAGTGGTAAATGTGCGTGATGTCCGAACTGCAGCGATCCGTGACACGGGGGTCACGACTGCGGCGGTTCTGCTGACATTGATGGTTCGGGTGAGGAAAGACATGATGGATTCTGTTATTGAGCCGTTCGACGCTGTGATAGTTTTTTTGTGGTAATTGATTGATTGGAGAGGGGAAAAGGAATGGAAAAGAAGAAAGAAAAAGTGTAAAAATTTAACTGCATATATACCTAGGCAATTGCACATGCGATGGGCCATAGAAAGCAAGAAAGGGCAGCAGAATAGCGAGGCAGCACTGTGAGAGACCTGGGTGGCACCAGGTCGTGATGTCATCGCCACACATGCCTCCACATGTAGAGCAGCGCAATGATGACGCAGATACGGTGAGCCTTCTACCATGTCTTTCTCTAGACTAAATCGAGATTTTGATGTGCAAACAGCTTTCTTCTTTCTCATTACTGTAGTTTTTAAGCACCTGGTCTGCGATTGGCCTTTTTGTGGAGTGGTTTGGCGATGGTTATTTTGGTGGAGGAATGTTTGCATCATCAATACTACAGTACAAGCAACTCCCTGAATAATAACCCTGTTTTGCAGGATCAAAGCTTATTCGGATCTAAATAGTGGTGAAATGTGTTCTAGAAGATTTGTAGCCTTTTTCCTTTCTCCTGCTGTGTCATTGTCTAAGAAATCTAACTTTCTCCTCCATTCAGGCTCTCTTCACCTGCCGTGGAATCTTTCGATCCATTGCCTCATCGCGTTCTCTGCCACTGCGGGATCAATCCTCTCAGTGGGTCCGAGGCGCATCATCTTGCCAACTAGATACATGAGCTTGCCCTGGGGATACTTTTGCTCGTCGGCGAATTCTTCCAGCACCTTGTCTTCACCCGCGGCGGCCTCGGCAGCAAGGGCTTCATACTCTTCCTGGGAAATCTCTTTGAACCACAGGTCATTGCTGTTGATGGCTTCTAGGATTCCTCCTTCAAGTTCGCCCAAGTATACGGCCATGAGAAGCTCCTTTGCTACTTTACCCGTGATGTGCTTGCGGTAAAGGTGATATAGAAGCTGCGACAAGTCCTCCTCGGACACTTGAGCACACTCCCCGAGCTGGGTAAACGACAGATCTCCCGACGCAAGCGGACCAGCTTTGTAAGTCGTCAGGCGGCCGAGTTCATGGAGGATCCAGTTCCCCGCCAATGTTGAGTACGACTTGACTTCCGGAAGCTCCGCAATGTCAACCTCGGCCCGCAACTTACCCTCCAGCAAAGCTAGGACGCGATAAAAGTACTGCACACGCGATCCATTGTCCAGTGTGATGAGTGAGAGGGCATCCTTGGGAGTGAGGCCGTAGTGATTAACCAGCTTGTCAAGCTCGGTATCCGGCAGAACAGCAAGCGATGTCTGCAGACGTTGGACAAGGTCGTTCCCAATGACAAGCGGCGGTAGGTCAGGGTCGGGCATGTAACGATAATCGACTTCGCCCTCCTTACCACGCAAGCGACGGGTTTCCTTGGATCCAATTGTCCAGCCACGCGTCTCGCCAGCAATCACGCCGCCTGCCTCCAACTGTCGAATTTGACGATCGCGCTCGGCAATGATGGCATCCTCCACGGCCTTGATCGTACTCAAGTTTTTAATCTCTGTACGGGTGCCAAGCTTCTTGCTAGGGTCATCGGTCCTCCGTACAGATACGTTGACATCAGCTCTGAGACCGCCCGTCTCCATCCCAGAAACGCACGAGTCCACAGTGTTGAGAAGCAGCTGAATTTTGCGCACAAGCACAGCAGCCGTGCGAGGGTGATGGATCTCGGGCTCGGTGATTATTTCAATCAAGGGTACGCCCACACGGTTGAAATCCAGCCAGTGAACGCTTCCCGTCTGTGCGAGGGTCTTGGCCGTGTCCTGCTCGAGCTGCACTTGTTTGATACCGACAGTGACGCTCTCGCCATCCTCCGTAGAGATGCCATCACGAGCAAGGAGCGTAATGTGTCCCTTTTTAGCAAACGGCTCGTAGAATTGCGTAATCTGATATCCTGAAGGCTGATCCCACCAGAAGTAATGCTTCCTGTCAAACCGACTGACAGGTTGTATCTCGCAGTTGAGGGCCAGTGCTGCCCGAATAGCCGGAATCAGAGTCTCCTTTTGAAACAACGGCTGGCTGCCCGGCATTGCAACATCAAACAGCGCCACGTGGCTGTTTGGCTCATCGTTGAAGGAGGTTGCAGCCGGCGAAAACAGCTTGCGAGACGTATTGAGTTGGGCATGGATCTCAATTCCGACGGTCAGCTCCCAGCCGTCAACGGTTTGGGAATCGCCCTTGGATTTCTTTTTGCCTTGTATTTTGGCTTGCTTTGCCTGCTCCTTGAGCTGCTTCCGCAGTGGGACATGGATTGGCTGTGATGATGATGCTGCCGCCGCTGGTTCAGGCTGCGTATGGAGGTGCCGCAGGGCGTAAGGTGGACGAAGAGACGGCCAGACAGGCACTGTTCGTGAAGACAGCCGCCGACCGTTAATGCATCCTCGCTGTGATATACGGCCCTCGAGCAGATACCTGCTGAGCTCGCCCACAGATCTGCGACTCATTGCGCACTCTGCTTGCACTTAAAGTTGAAATGAGGCGTAAAGAGTCGTACGCCCAAGTCCCAATCAATGCCAGGTAGGAAACGTCGTTTGCTTGATGCCGTCGTCAAACCCACCCAACCGGGACAATACGCCCTCGATTTCAGCAGTGCCACCAAATAGGCGTGGTTTGTTCGCCACGATATGGATCAAATGTGAATGTGTTGCGAACTGTCGCTTCGTCAAAACTGAACCTCGGGTGGAGACCAGATCAAAGATCATATGGCATGCAGTGAGGCCGCGAGCCGGCCCGCTAGAAAACCCGACAGGTCGGAACCCACCTGCAGCCACTCCGTCCATCAATCAAAGTCGTGGCTCTTATAAGAGGGTGTGCTTCGTCCAATAAATAGATTAAACGAATGCATCTACAATCGTCCCGCTCCTCCTCTTCTTTTTCACCTGAGTATGCATCCAAAGCAATCCCTTCAGGATGTGAATCCAAACGAAGTATAACAGAAACCCAATTCGCAGATCCTCACCCCCGCCCAGCCAGCGATCACACACCGAATCTCACAAGGGATCTGTTACACAGCGCTCATAGTTTGTCTTATGAGCAAAGTTGCTCCGCAGTTCGACGAGGCAATGCCTTCCATGTCGGGCACCAACTCGTGTTGGCCACAGACGAAATCAGCGGCCATTCTCAGGGCTTCCAGACCATGTGCCCTCTTGCCATACCCCCCGAATCAGAGGCAACCAATCCCAGCTCGATTTGGTATGAGCTGACACAAGTGTGTGAAGATTGTACGCATGATCGGGGCTAAGCAGCGCTTCTTGTTTTCCCTCTATTTTACAGAGCCTGGCCCCCAACAATCAAGAAGAAGAAATTTCCCCCTCGGCTGTCCTCTCTTCCTCGTTATTAATTGTCGTCACTGCGCAAATCATGCCACAACATGGTGGTCCTCGTTGCTGCAGCTAGTAGATAAGAATCAAGCCTCGCAAACGCATCATTTTAGCCGCCGTTGTTTCATCTATTTACCGTCAAAGGGGAAACATCTGGATGATCTCATACTCAAAAGAAATACGCTTTTGTGCGTGTGCCCGCACTCCTTCGGATATCCTGGAGTGTCTGAGCTCGCTCAAATTGACCTGTGAAGACACCAATTCAGCTCTCATTGTCAACCAGTAATCCACTCCGCCGTCTAACCTCTCTAGAAGGCAAATTATTGTGATTTCATCTCTCTAGCGGTTTGCGCCTCTCACGAGATCTGAACATGCGATTTGGGGTAGGACAGGTGGAAGGATTTGCTCATCCGCACTGCTTCCCCGCGCCGCCGCGAGACTACAATTAAAAGCGCCGTCAAATATCCAACCGTATAAGTGATTGAAATTATCTTGTACGATCAACGAAAGGGTGCCGAGATGGAGCCAGCGGTTCCGGGCCCGTCCAGAATCGATAAAAGTAAAGGGGCGGCAACACACTCTCGCCAGGGCAGCATTGATGAGAATCCGAGAGCTTCCAACTCATCATTTCCTTCCTCGTCAACAGCGTCTGCAGCAAAAGCCGATCGAGAGGGAGACCAGCCAAATCCCTTTTTCGAAGAAGAAGACAGGACTAGCCATATCAGAGAGAGGCCGAAAAAATACCACCACAGGCGCATGAGCTCAAAGAGGCACGTTAGTCCGGGACGATCGCCGAACCCTATGGAATATGCACCGCAGAGTCCTGAAGATCCAGCAAGAGGTATATTGCCTTCTAGTATACCTCCTAATATCTCAAACGATCACTGACATCGTTCACTAGGGCCACCTCACGGCTATCCGTTCAATGGGCGCCCCCCAAATGGAGTGCTCAGGAATGACAACGCTCGTATCCCGCCAATCCAAACTCTCCCAGGGCACTTCCCCAACGGATATGGCTCTCCAGAAAGGCCATATGTCGTCCCTGACCCGCCGCCAGTGTTTATCCCATCACCCATGCAGGCTTCGTTCCCTCCGCAGATGCTCCCGATGCCTCCACCAAATTATCAGCTCAGCGGACTGCCTCTCAGTGGCTACGAACTCCTTGCGGCCAAACTGTCGG